CTTTTTTTTATGATATTTTTATTATTATTATTATTATTATTATTACTATTATCATTCATAGTATGTAAATATGGTTTAGTGAATGAATTCAGTCTTCAAAATATTGTATTGGGTACCAGGGTCCTAGTGGCTAAACTCTTCGCCGCCGTCACGTTCTGGCGGAACGAGTACCACCGTCGTGCAGTACAATTCCACCGCCGCCGCCGCTATGAGTAGTATGGGCCCCTGTTACTTAATATCATTTGTGGGGTAACCGACAGCTCAATATGGCCACTGAAAAACGGCATTTGGGTAAACCACTGAAACCGGCCACCGCGGGCGACGTAGCTCTGACCACAGTGCCCGGTGGCCGAGTTCAATTTCTATTTAGTACTAGATAGAGAACTCCCGCCATGAATTGAAGCTTCAGGTCGGTTGGCAATTGTATGGTATTTCATAAGTCAAATAATGTTGATGTTATGATTTATTTTGTATCATATTTTATTATTTCTAATCATGTTGTTTAAAAAAAAAAAAATATTTTATATAAGTCATTTTACATTTAATATTTTATTTGACCATTAAAAAAAAATATTATTCCTAATACATTTTGTATAATAAATTAAATGTTTTGCCAACCGACAAATTTCAGTCTTCCACAGCTGAGCTTCACTAGCTTTCACTATTAAATCTAAGGTTTTAAAATGTAATACAAGATTCCTTATAAGATTATCTACATTTATAAAAATAAATTTATATAATGAAGTCAAATTAAATTTTTATGTGCGTTAGAAATTCAAATTCTTACAACATTGGATTTTCACTCGATTTCTCATGTACCTAGCGATTTCCTTATTTTGTTGTAATTCAAAAACGAATAACTGTAGATACATGAAAAATTCACTGAATATTTTTATTAGCATTTCCTATACACCATACAATTTAGAAAATATTTTGACTCTTTTTGAGCTGTTTACGGACATTTTCAGTTTCCAATTTTTTTAGTTTTTTATTCTATAAATATCAATAAAGTTTTATCTGTTGGGCCAAAAAGTGTAAAAATTTAATACAAGGCTCCTGATATATTGTTAAAACATCAGTTAAAAAATATATAATATACATTGGAAATTTTTTTTTTATAAGCATTTAAAGATCGAAATTTAACAAATTTAAAATTGAATAATTATTTTCTAGTTAAAAAGGTATAAAATGTTCAACTTTTATATCTAAGGATTGAAAGTTTAAAACAAAATTCCACGTAAGTATTTTATTTTGTTACCAAAAAATCTAAAAATACATAAGCACAGTTTATTTTTATAGTCATTTTAAGTTAAAAATATGACATAAAAAAAAACCTAGAATCACTATTTTAGTTATTTTGTTGTGATTGGTTAATATTATTCGTGGGTACTTGAAACTTCTAATGTGTACTATTATATATCTATGATAGTATCACGGTTTTTTTAATGTATAACGCGTAATAAGTACCTAATGGATGATATGATTAATTTGGAATTCATTATAGGTACCTATAATAGGTAAATTTTTAGATAAGTATATAATATGCCTTACCTTTACCTAGACTGACTTACCATCTCCACTCAGAATCGTTTTTCTTATACAATAATATTATATCATTGATTTCAAATTTAATACTATCCATTATACAGTGACCCACTTGTAACCTACTGTACAGCAGAGCACCTTTTTATTTTTTGTCTGACATCACGGTTTAGGGCAGTGAAACTGCTTCGATTTTCTTCAACAGTATCTTGTTTGATAGAAAAGTGAATCGTTTTGGTACATTGACTAGGTCAAAATTTAAAATTCAGAAAATAGTTTTCAAAAGCTAAAAATAACATAAAATTTAAGTGAGAACGGGAATTAAAAATTTGAATATATTGGTCTTTGATGCAACATTAAAAAAAATTAATGTATATAGTATATACTATATACATGACATTTTCATTTTTGTTTATTCTCACATTTTCTATACACTAGTAAATTTTTAAATGATTTTGATTTGTTTTGAAGTGTTTAGGGACATTTTCATTTTTCAATTTTATTAGTTTTTATTTCTATGAATGTCAATAAAACTTTATTTGTTGAGTAAAAAAGCTTGAAAATTTAATACAACGCTCTTACTATATTTTTAAAATGAGATTTGAATAATATTAAAAATCCTTAGTCACAGTTTTTTTTTATAAGCATTTAAAGTTCAAATTTTGACAAAATATGGAAAAATCTCAAACATTTTTCAAATTATTTTGAGTTGAGAACTAATAAAAACTTAGCTCAGCAAAACAAGTTGCTAAAAAATTTTGAATTGATGACAAATTTGATAGTTTACAAAGATTGGGACGTAAGGCGACTCCTTTTACTTACAAATCTCAAGACAACCCTATAAATGATCCAGAAATGTACTTTAAAGTTAATTTTTTTTAATCAAGTTATAGATACAGGTATTTAAACTAAAATTATAAAAAACTACTTGTGGTTCCAAATATGTAAAATTTGTTTAGTTGGTCTGGCAAAATTTTTCAATTGAAAAGGGCGAATTAAACAAATTAGACTTGGAAGAAGTATTACAAGAGCTTGCAGCATTAAAAGTCAGAAAAATTAAAATATTGGATTCTTTATATCTCATTTAAAATGTTTGTGAAGAAAATGTATTATTTTATGTTAGGTAATTTTCAAACAAAAATTTGAACTATTTAAATGTAATAGAAAATAAAATCCTTATCCTTTAATAATTTTTTTATGTAATATTGAATATTTCTCTAATAGAGCCGAAACAACTGATCAATTGAGCTGGTAGGATTACATTTTCATGTTGTCTTGATATCCCTTGTGGGGAAATATCTGAAGAACATTGTGTAGGAATAATTTTTTAAATTTTAATTTTAAATTATGAGCATTTGAATATTTTAAATTGAACATAGTCGAATGGATTATTCAGAATGTACGTTTTCCTATATTAAGTGTTTGGAGACACTCATGCATGTGAAGCGTCCTTTAAACTTTAAATTATAATTAATTAAACATTGATTTTAAATAAAATTTGAAGTTGGTAAAATATATAATCATAGCTAAAACTTAAAAGTTTTATATATGTAGACCCACATAATATATATAACTATACTAGACAGCCGTCTTCCGATTATCAACTTGGATAATAATATATTCATGGATCGGACCATAGATCTTATACTAAGTAGTAGGCACAAAGTGAATTACTTGTGGAAAAGTGGCCGATGGCTGTAAGTACGTAACAGGGGCCTATGCCGTGTTCGTGGTGTTCGTGGTGTTCGTGATGTGTGTTGAACGAGCAGCATACGGCGTCGGCGGTCGGCGTCACAGCCACTGACTCCGACGCCGCAGTCTAAACTGCACGAGAGTAGCGACTAGCCCATGGGACCTTGGTATGCTTACACCGCTTAGGATACCCCAGCGTTTTTTCTTCTGGTCAACGCGAGTTGACTACGAACTGAAAATATTTGTTTTTTGTAGAGTTTCAGTTTCAATTTTCATTGATATTATATTCAGTGTTGAGTTGTATCTCGATACATTTATCTAGAAAATGTATCTAGATGAAAATTAAGTACCTAGATACAACAATATAGCATAGTACGTTTTGTTACCCACGTACTAATATATTGACAGGCGACAGCTGACTCATATAATAAAATATTTATATATAATTAAATATAAAAATAATTTTATGACCTAACGAACTTACCCACCCACCCACCTAAAATTGTTTGGGGCAGTTGCCCCAAAAAAATAAGGTCGTGACGCCACTACAAACAATCGAAGTTACATGGGTAATGACTTGATTTAGGACAATTTAACATAGCCATTTGAATGTAGAGATAGTAAAAAAAGTAAAAATATAAATCATTCAATTTATAAGTTATTTATTATACCTAATATGTTAAAAATGTATGTAAATATTTTAATATCAACAAATTATTTATTATATAAAATATTAAAATTAAAACATTGCTAAAACAATTTTTTTATTATATAGTTAGGTACGCCAAAAATTAAAATACAATATCAAAAATGTATAAAAAATATTTAGTTATTAATGTCAAAAATTAAAAAAATTAAACTAAATCTAAATCTTGAAATATTATACTAAAAAATGATCAACATTTTATACTAATATTAGAGAAACACTTATAATATGCCAATAGGTTAGTTAATACTTGTCTTTTGTAATACGTAATATTAAATAATAATTGGTTAGGCTCGATATGATACAATACTATATTTTTTATTTGTATTATAAACATAATATCAATGGTTTATAATTTATAAATATAAATAAACCAGCAGAACTACTTTTCTTAATATATTTTGATAGACAGATGGACAGATGGACAATTAATTAAAAATGTACTTATCAATAAAATAAACAAAACGAGACCCCTAGGACGACCCAAAACCCGATGGATTGACGTAGTTGCCAAAGATATAAAAATGATAGACCAGGAAGCAACTTTAGAAACAGCATATCAGAGAGAGAGGTGGAGAGAAATTTTGATGGCAGCGATGGTCCTGAATGGACCGCTAAGCTGAGAATGAAAAATGATGATGAAATGTATTATTTTAAATTTCAATGAAAATAATTTTATTTATTGATTTATATATTTTTTTTCTCCAATTATCCCTAAGTCCAAATGACTATGTTTTAATGACTTTGTTCCTATTCTGTAATAACTAATGAGACAATCTCTCTAGTATTTTTTAAATTACTGAATATGTTATTTTGATTTATTTCTAGGAATGACATGCCACTTCATTGATGAAAAAACATATGTTTGGCATTCATTGGTTGTAAACGTATTACGGGAAGCCACAACTACCAAAACATTGCTGACTTTATATCAAAAATTACACAAATATATGACATTGAACATTCAAAAATAACCCATATTGTTACGGACAATGCTGCAAACTTTGGAAAAGCATTTAGGGTGTACTCTACTTCTCCAAACATTGCTCACAAAGAAACAATGAACGATTTAGGTAATATTGATGAAAACAGTTCAGTTTCTTCAAATTCTGATAATGGATCAGATTGTTCAAATTTTGAATTAGAAAATGTAGAATTCAATAACTTATTTTTAACTTCTGAATCAAACTCAAAGAACGATGGTACATTTTGTCTACCAAAACATATGCTTTGTTGTGCTCACACGTTAAATTTAATTGCAGCAAGTGACATTTCAAAAATGTCTGATAACAATTATAACAAAATATCCAAATCTAACCTAACCTTAGCAAGTCGAAGTACCGCAGCATCTGATAAAGTGTATGATATTTGTAAGTGCAAGTTTCCAGTTCCAGTAGTGACTCGGTGTAATTCATTACATTATGATGCAACCCAAAAAATTTTAGATCACAAACTAAACATAGAAATAATAGTTGAACAGTTACATTTGCCCAAATTGAAAAATAATGAGTGGGGGTTCATAAATGAATATTGTAAGGTTATGAAACCATTGGCCTTTTCATTAGACAAGTTGCAAGGTGAAACAAAAAGTTTCTTGGGATATGTGGCTCCCACTATATTAGTGTTAAGAAAGTTATTGATACTGAATCAATCTGAACAGTTAATATATTGTAAACCTTTGAGTCTTACAATTATAAATTCTCTAGAGAAGATTTCAACACATTTCAACTGAGAAGAATTTTCTGTCAAAAATGGTTCGAATCCTATTGTTTTGTTTTGAAATATTGATACTTTAACTTTATAACTTTAAATACTTTTAAAAAATATTGCGAATTTATAAATATTTGTAATATTTTTCAACTACTGTTGTAACAATATATCAGGAAGCTTGTATTAAATTTTCAAGCTTTTTAACAAAACTAATAAAATGTTATTGACAATTTATTATAGAAAAAACTAAAACAATTGAAAACTGAAAATGTCCTTAAACAGCTCAAAAAGAGTCAAAATATTTTCAAAGTTATATGGTGTATAGAGAATGAAAAGATGAACATTCAATGACATTTTCATGTATCTACAGTTATTCTTTTTTGAATTACAACAAAATCACAAAATCACTACATGAGAAATATTCAATGTTGTAAAAATATGAACTTCAAACAATCATAACAATTTTATTTTATTTGCTTGTAGAAATTTTTTTTATAAATATAGACATACTTATGAGAAATCTTGTATTAAATTTTAAAAACTATAAGAATTACAAAAATATTGTGACTAAAGATTTTTAATTTTTTTAATTTTAAATTTCATTTTAACAATATAATATTAAGAACCCTATTAAATTTTCAAGATTTTTTACCCAATAAATAAAATTTTATTGAAATTCATGAAAAAAAAAAACTAAGAAAAATTGGAAACATCTCTAAATAAGTCAAAATATTTTTAAAATGTTATGGCGTATAGAAAATACTAATATAAACATTGAGTAAAAATTGCATGTATCTACAGTCATCTGTTTTAGAGTTACACCAACAACCAAAATCTATTTTCCCGTTTTCCTTAATTTTTTTTATGTTTATCACGAAACTTTTGTAAGCTACCGGAACATTTTTACTTTTGAACCCTCAAAGTACCAACTTTCTACCCACTTTCTTATCAGAAAAGATTCTGTTTAAGAAAATCTAAGCACTTTTACTGTCCTAAAACGTGATGTAAGACACACAAAAAAATATATATGAAAAAGAAAACTCATTATTGTAAAATCAATACATTTATCACTCCAATACCCAAATTTGTAAACGTTAAGTTCAATTCTTGAAAATTGAACTCGTCACACAATATTAACGCGTTCTTTCCCATCACTGAATACTGTATTACGTCGTCAATTGTTATCAGTATTCGGTGCATAATAAGTTGTACAATGTGTCATTGATCATGTTGAATGGGATCAAATATTGAAATATTACAAAAAACAATAATCGTAATGATAACAAAAAACTATAATACAAGAAAAAGTGTATTATTTGGACTTTGGAGGGACACTGACGACGGTTGTACGTGATAGATAATTAATTATAATAATAATGATATACGTTGGAGAGATCTTTCCTCATTCCGTTTTTGCCGCCGTGTGTCGGGCGGCAGCTCGTCGGAAACGCCGGCTTTGCGGCATGGGACCCTGGTGGCTCGGGACTCGATCTACTACCAATGTTTCTTTGTTTTGTTGCTCTTAACGTTCAATCAAAATGTGTGTGCAAATGTGTATTACAATCGTAAAACTAAGGTTAAACCACCGATTTCGGCCGGTAAAATCAGTGACATCAGTGGGTTAAGTGTAACTGTGGTTTACACTATGATTGTAAAACTAAATTTTTTTTTTGCGTACACCATTGCCACCCGCCCATCATTCGTTCTTCACAAACACTCGAAAAAAAAAATAAAATATATTGCTTAAGACATACGAGAACCACTCCCGCACAGATTGAGGTATCAAAAACCAGCTTCTCGTGAACTCGTTTTACATTCAACATTTTTACACAATATCCTTGACGTAGGTAGTATTTTTATTTTTTTGATTAACTTATTAAGATAGAAGTTATTAAATCTTAATTCTTAAACCTCCCTAATTGTATATATTTTGTATGTGTCTTTCGAATGTTCTTAAGAGGAAGCTACCCATAGATTTGTTGTCTCCGTCTTACATGCGCACGACATAGCAAATTGTCGTTCACTAGTTTCAATAGTGTGCTGTTAGTTTTGATACTAGAGTGAATAATAAAACTTTTAGGTAAGAACATTATCTGTGCTTAAGCGTTGCCGATTTTTCGAAATTTTCATTTTCAAGCTTATGATATGGGTATATAAAATATCAAAAATTAAAAATGCTCATATCTCGCTTGAAAATTAAAATATTGAATAAAAGCCAAAGTTTAAACATAGATAATGTTACTATCTAAAATATTTATAATAGGTCAAATCACTCTATTATCAAAACTAACAGCACAATAATGAAACTATTGAACTAAAATTTGCTATGTCGTACGTGAGTAAGACAGAGACAACAAAAGCATGGGTATCATCCTCTTAATAATATTAACATTGTATAGTTTTGAAAAAAAAATAATAAATACGATACGTAACAGAGAAATGAGAAAATAATTGTTCTCAATTTAGGGTCAACATTTCACCTGTGTACTTTAATATTGTAGACTTTGCATTTCATGGTCGAGTAAAACAATAGTAAGACAATAGTTATGTCCAACCATGTTTATTTGTAAGCAGGGCTTGCATTTGAAAAAAAAATTCCCGTTTTACGTTATATACAATTAAAACGTTACACAATATTACCCCATTTTTGTGTTTGTCGTTATTCAGAACTATTACGTTATCCAAGTTTTGCGTTTATCGTTATTCAGAATTAAAACGTTATCCAAGTTTTGCATTTATCGTTATTTAGAACAAACTTTAACCACGTTTATTATACAATCTATTGCATTTAAGGTATTTTTGCTAAGGATACAAAAATTCGCCTTAAAATAACGAATACTTTGATATAATAAACTCATTTTTCAAATGTTGTTTTTACTGCCTTTTGGCTTAGGGGGGCAGTATAGACGTGTTCCATTTCCAACGTACCGATTAATCTAGTGAAGCGATAAGAATTCTGAAAACAGATTTGAATTTGTCGTCAAGTCTACTTTTCCACATTTTTGATAGTATCCCCCAAAAATCACAAAAATGATATATTAAAAAGAGTAATTAAAAAATTTACATATTCAATTTTTGGAGAAGTTTAAATCAAAATATCAAAAAAGTGGGAAAGTCGATCTCAAGAATACTTGACCACAAATTCAAATCTGTTTTCAGAATTCTTATCGTTTCACTAGATTAATCGGTACGTTGGAAATAGAACACGTCTATAATCCCATATTGCACGTGTGTTAGACAAAGACAGAAAATCGCCCCATATTAAACGCGGCGGCACAATAATAATAATATTGTTGGTCTGTGGGGTTGATCGGGTTGACCTGGTGGGTAAAAACTTAAAACGCTACTAAAACGTACGAAAATCTAAAAACAAGGTGCGAGAAGTACCATTAACTCATGGCCTAATCGTAACTTTTCTTCAGTTTCGGCGGCGCGCCGGTGGCGGCTCGGCGGCTGTTGTGACGAAACGCGGCAGCAGTAGCAATTCCATAGAAAAAAGATTCTGAGAGGATTCTGAGAGTGTGGATATTTTATATTATATTTATATTGTTATTAGTTATTACTTATTAATTATTATTAATACGGAAGAAGGTAGGTACCTAAGTTTAATTATTATTATACAATTACAACAAAATAACTAAAATCGTTATTCTTGGTTATTTAATATGCAGCCCTCAAGCCATAAGTACTACTGTTGGGTAAAATCACGTTAACTCACGTTAAAATCACATAAACACCGCATATATGCCTATTGTAAATAACCTTACAGATTGTATATTTTCTAAATAAATGTTAAAAAAAAAAAAACAAAAAATATACAGGACTGGGCCAGGGTGCTATACACCAAGTAGCACCCCGGGCCCCCATTCGTATTTATGATCCGGGCCCCCGATTACCACAGTCGGGCCCTTTTTAATTTTACTCTTATCGTAATGTAGAATATAAAGATAAATTAGAATAGAAATCTACAATGTTCTGTTGTTATTATATTTATAATATTACATCGTGTCATCGTATCATTCGTGTCTACGTAATTAAAATAAATATAGATAAAATAACTTCATAAAAGTAAAAATTTCATTGATTGACAGTATCTATAATCTAGGTATATTATATATCTATAATCTATATAGTCTGTAGATAACCGTACATTATAGATATTACTACTGCCGCTTAGCGCTATGACTGTAATCATGAAGACTAGAATAAGGAGACCAAACTCCGCTTCTGATGACGGTTTATTTATAGTTTTGTTTTTGTATTTATGGTGATTTTATCTTGTCTTATTATGTGTTAGCTATAAATGTTATAATTATATATTTTATATTTATAATTTATAAACATTTGTCATTTTTATTATTACATGAATTGATGAATTAACTAAATATGATAATCGATCATTTTTCGTATTCGTATCGTTGAGCGTTTAGCTAGGGTCTAGGAGCACATTCGACGTTAGACGTTTTATATTATTCTATAAGTACGAGTACCTATACGATTTTGAGTCTTGAAATTAAAACTGGTGAGTAGGAAATAATTTAATATTACTCTATTATATATTATATGAAAATGTATTATAATGCGTATTTGTGTATTGTGTAAATATATTAAACAATTTTCATATTGGATATTACCGTCTAATAACATTTAATATTTTTCAATATTATATTATTAAAAAAAAATTTGATTTAGTTTAAAGTATTGATAACTTAATAGGTATGAACAAAATGGTCCATAAAGGTTAATATTATTGATACATCATCAAAAATAACACGTAAATATTTTCTACTTCTTAAGACTTAAGCAAACATTTTTGACTAACAATTCATTGATATTTTGTCTTTGGATTAATTATTTACAAAATATAATCATTATTTGAGATGAGCTAAGATTAAAATTGTTGTGAATTTCATTTTCTAAATTAATATGTCTTGTATTAAAAATTAATATTGTACCTACCTATATTCATAAATTGATTATACATTTTAAAGTTGAAGTATTCTATTAGATATATGGGCTATG